AAGGGCTGGCTCACACATCCAGCTGCATGTCCAAGGGCTGGCTCACACATCCAGCTGCATGTTGAAGGGCTGGCTCACACATCCAGCTGCATGTTGAGGGGCTGTGCTCACACATCCAGCTGCATGTCCAAGGGGCTGGCTCACACATCCAGCTGCATGTGGAAGGGGCTGTGCTCACACACCCAGCTGCATGTTGAAGGGCTGGCTCACACCTCACACATCCAGCTGCATGTTGTGAAGGAGCTGGCTCACACATCCAGCTGCATGTCCAAGGGGTGGCTCACACATCCAGCTGCATGTCCAAGGGGCTGTGCTCACACATCCAGCTGCATGTTGAAGGGGCTGTGCTCCTGCAGGCGCCAGTGCTGCTCGATGGGCACCTGTGCCTGGCGCAGCGATTTCAGCCGCAGCCGCCGCTCCAGGCACTCCAGGGCCAGTGGGTCCCTGCCGGCCTCAAACTTGTTGGCAAACAGGTGGGGGGACTCAATAATCCACTGCAGGTCCCCCAGGCCGTAAATGCAGATGTCTCTGACGTAATAACCTGCAGAGATAAATCACAGAGGTGTGGCAGCAGCGGGAAGATGAACGGAAGCATTTTTTAAAAGTTTTTCACCTTTGGGTAATGCCACAATTTATAAAGACATTTAGAATGTTTGTGTTTTACATAAATAGATGTTTGTTACCTCCAGCTGCTTCCCTGCCATGTTGCTCTGCTCAGTAAAATCTTGTGGGTGGGCATCAGATGTTCTGAGCTCCTACTGGGATTCCCTGCTCAATCACACCCGGGCACAGCTTGCACACTTGGGGATTTTAATTATTTCTGCACGCTTTCCATGTAGCCAGCACTATTCTGTCTTATTGTTGTTCAGATTGAAGGGATTCAAGCCAATATTTATAAAAGTTCCTGACAAACATCCTTGTCAGGTAAAGCCCCTCCACTGAGACCTGATCAGACAAATTAGTGCATTGGTAATTAGGGGCTGAAAGAAGGGTTGTCAGTGGATGGATACTGTGCTCATCTCAAAATATATAAAATATCTAACTAATATATTAATATAACATATATATCAAAATCTCTTCAGTTGGATATACTGCAGTAATTTATAGGGTGCCTTGTGTTATTTAACACTTCCAAAATAAATTATATATGACCACTGAGGCACATTTAACAGCTGCTTTAAATAATATGTAATCAATTAATGCTCACCAGTGAATGAAATTTAAGTTCATGATCAAAATTGACTTTACCTTTGCAGCCTTTGTGTGAGAGCCCTTCTTGATCTTTCCATTTAATGGCTCTTAGGTCTCCATCCCAGCCTGCATTGGGTGTAGCCCCTGGAGCATCTTTCAAAACAAAAGGCTCTGATAAGATTCTTTTCTACTTATTACAGGGAAAATTTTCACTGCTGGACATTTCTTAACTGCAGTCACATTAAATATTTACTTGCAGATATTTATGTCTATCATTCTCAGTATTATCACTTTTTAAAATTTCTTGAGAGCAAAAGCTTTCATGCAGCAAAAAACTTGTTAACCAGAATTTTTCCAACTCCTGGTCTGCACTGACATAGCCATTTCCTGCAATCAAGCTTTGTTTCTCAGCCACCAGAAATGACTTTTCAAAGGGGCAGCAGCAAAGCTGAAGGAATTCTTTTATTTCTGCATTTCAGAGCTGTTCAGCTCCGAGCTCACAGCCTCTCCCTGCCCTGCTGGGTTTATTTGCAGCAGAAATACCCAACTCTTACCAGGTAATCGATTGAGGGTGACCCAGTAGTGCTCATCGGGGCTGTAGGTGTCCCTGGACCACTCCAGCAGAGCTTTAGCCCGGGCATCACTGAGGGTGAAGTGCACAAAGGCCCTGCTGAGGATGTAATAGGCACTGCCAAAATAGATGGTGAGGTTGTGTGGGGGCTGAGCCTTCCTGACCTTGGCTGGGTACACGTAGGGCACCCCCGAGTGCACAAACTCCCTGTAGCTGACCTCTGTCCTGTGCTTCACGTGCAGGGGCTGCACTATCCCAGGGGTGATGTTCTTCCCGTTCCACTTGGTTCTGATATATTCTATGATTTCTTTATTTGTTTTCAGGGGGTAATCTTGGCCACACAGATTAATAACATAATTCCACTGAACTTTGGAGTTAACGAGGTCTCTCATGCAATTAATGTCAGCTTGTAATCTTGAAAACCCTGCATAAACAACGTGTTCTCTTTTGGAGGAAATAAAAATATTTTCAAAGCAGTTAACGATGTTCTGTACAGCAGTTTTATAACCTCTGGGTGACTTTTCATCAATGTGGATGCAGTAAATATTCTGAGGCATATAAATAGCTCTTAGCAGCCTCACAAACATTTCCAGCTCCTTGTGAATTGTAATAATGTATGCCAAGGAGAAATTTCCTTCTTCCTCTGACAGTGGGCTGGTGATAAAATGCAGAGTCTTCAGCACTGTGGAGCAGCTGCAGGAAGTCTGAATGCAGCTGAGGGCTTTGGGCTGGTAGGCCTTCTGACAAAAGTTTCCAATTTTAGAGGCTGCAGGTTTCCCCACAAAAAGAGCAGAGCAAAGTTCATCGGGGTAAAAACCACACTCTGCTCTTTTGACCTGGAATTTTTGCTCATCTGACTCATCATAAAGTGGAACCATTAGGTAAATGAAGGTGTAGATGGACATGCAGGCAGCAACACACACTAAAAATCTGGATTTCTTTGCGTGAAGTGGGTTCATCTTTTACTCCCAGCTCCTGTCTTCTTATCATAGTCCAATTAAACATTCAGATCATCTGAAAGAAAAAGTGAGATAGAGGGGAAAAAACTGTTTATTTTTTTAATAGATGCCACATCAGTGCTGCATTTATAAACGTTGGGATTGCTACCAGGAGGAACTGTGTGTGCCCACTCAGCACTCAGCCCTGGGAATGCAGAGCCACAAGGCAGGAATTCTGTCTTTCCAGGACAAAATGATCTCAAAATGGTACAAAAGGACCCAAAATGGCTTTGAATTCTTCACTGCTTGACCAAGGTCTGAGCCCCTCAGGTGGGAGCTCCCTGTGCTCAGCAGCTGCTGCTGAGATTTCCTCAAGGCCTGGGAAACTTGAAGTTCTGCCAGAGGATCAGAATTCAGTAAATTAAATCAACAGAAAATTTATTAAATAAACAGAAGGAAGAGGCTAAAACGTAATCCATGAAATACACTGGGTTTTATCCTTATAAAGGCAGCAAATGTTTCTGACTCTGAGATTTTTATTTTTTCTTTCCTCTGACATCTTTGTATTTGAGCTTTGGAAAACCGAACAAGGGGACAACACTCATTTCTTATTTTTGGTATTTGTGCATACCCTGAGATAAGGACACAATGCCAGTACTGGCATTCTGAGATAACCAATTTACAGCAATATTAGCACAGGAGTTTTTCCAATGTGTTTTTTTCCTTACCTTTGCCTTGTTGAACAGTCAGAAGAATGAGAGTGTAGCAGTCCTAAATCCCACAGCAATTACATGAAGTCTTTATCCTTGAAGCTCAAAATTCTAGAGAAAAATACCCAAGGAGAAGGTCCATCAACTCCCATTGAGCTCAATAGTTAATTTTTTTAAAAGATCTTAATTTTATTTTAAAGGTAATTAATTTTCTCTTTCATTCCATTCTTTTTTTAAACAAAATTTGCATTGAAATATTTTACATGTTGCAGCTGTCAAAATCATGAAGTATTTGGCTTTACACAGGAACAGAGAAAACCAGATTTTTATAAAGGTAGTTTCTTTTTATAAAGATAGTTTCTTTTTATAAAGATAGTTTCCTTTTATAAAGATACCCCTGAATTTTTATTACCCTGCAAGTAATAGCTTCTGGGGCTTTGCAGGCTGTTAAGTGCTTACCATGGATTTTTTCCTACTGGACTGTGTCACATCTAGAAACTGTATTTTTATGGCTGCTGTGGTTAGAAGGCTCGAGGTTTTCATTAGAAAGAAGTGGAAAATACTTTTGTTTAATAAAAAAAAAACAAGGAAAAGCTTGCAAATAAAGAGGGCATTGTAGTTAAAGCAGCAACGAGACATGAAATTCAAAAAGCATCAAGAAACCAAACTGAACCCAGGGAAGGGACCCTCCTTATTCCCACATTTTGTAGATGTTGTTAGGCTGTTGGGAAAGAATGTATTTATCTTTTGCTCCTTACTGGTATGCACTGGATTTCATGCTGGAATGGTGCCTCCTTCCCAGTGCCATTGCAGAGGGCAGAGCTGCCTGTTAGGTGCAGGGCTCCTGCATTTCCTGGGATGTTCTTTAGGCAGCTCCAAGCCAAAGCAGGAGGCAGCAGCTCCCAGGAGGGGATTTCAGCCTTGCAGCTCCTCAGGGATGCATTTCCTGCGTAAACAACCTTGATGGGAGCCTTCCATCCACCCCAGCAAAAACGCTGCGGAAAATCAGGTCCGGGGCAGCCTCTGGGTGCTGTGCAGAAAGCAGGAGAGCAGGGATGCCACTGCAAGGGGAAAAAGCAGCATTTCTGTAATAAAAATGATGTTAAATCCATTCATTTCATTTTCACAGAATCCTCTCTGTGCCAGAGCCCAGAGGGGTTTCTTGAGGACCATGATGTTCATACCCAGGGGCTGGATTTGGGGAAAACACTGATTTCTGTGCAGCCCTAATTACCCTCATTACACAATATTAGTTAAACTTATGAAGAAGAAGGTAAAGAAGAATATGAAGAAGGACTACCTTCTGCTCTAAAACTTCTATTTTGCCTTATATATATTACTATATTTTAAAGTTTTAGTTTATATTACTAAATTTTAAAGTTTTCTACTATGTGATATGACACACTTCTATTCAAACGACACACTTAGAAATCTTAGTTCTGTTATTTAATTTTGGAAGCTTTCTCACAGCTTCAGGTTAAATGTAGTGTTGTCTTAGAGGCCAGTATCTGGTAGTACAGAAAGTTTAAAATTCTCAGCAGCTAGGGTTCTAACAGAGCTGAACTTGGACAAACTCTTTATTCTTTATTCTGAGGGAAAAAATTGGCAGGAGGAACATTGAGATTCCTCTGAATTAGCAAATGTCATGAGATCTCTGGGGTGTCACAGGGAAGGTTCATTCTGAATATAAGAATTACACTAAAAACAGCAGACAACTGTAAAAATATTTAGGATTTTATACTTGATTAAATATAAAACATCTTAACACCAAGATTGTGGGTTCATCACTGTACAGATCATTTACTTGGGGGTTGAACTCAATGATCCTCGTGGGTCCCTTCCAACTTGGAATATTCTCTGAACCTGTCCAGAATGAAGGTGCTTGGCAGGTTTTTTCCCTTAAATACAATTTGGACAGGTTGCAAAGTGTAATTCCAGAGAGTCAAGCTGTAAGCTGCTTGTTTCATACCCCTGAATTTTTATTACCCTGCAAGTAATAGCTTCTGGGGCTTTGCAGGCTGTTAAGTGCTTACCATGGATTTTTTCCTACTGGACTGTTTGACATCTAGAAACTGTATTTTTATGGCAGCATAAAAGTACACAAACAGCCCATAATCAGGTAAGAGGCAGCAATTCCTCTGCAGTGTTAACATGTTTATGGGGAACTGCAAGAAAATTTGACATCTTTCAGCCTCAGGAGGATATTATGGAATGAAAGCTTTTTGGTACCAGACTTAGAGCTGGAATTGCAGCTGTCAGTGCCACTGGATGTGAAATTTGTTGTTTAGCAGCATTCTCTCAGCCAAATTTTTATCCCAAATTTCCTGCTGCCCTTGAGGAGCAAGAGATCCTGTTGGGAATGTCCACTGTCCACAGTGACCCTGCTGGGACTGTCCTGCCCTTGAGTCTCATTATGTAAGAGTGCCATGACAAGGATTTTCTGTTAGCAGAATGCCTCTGAAACTCAGCATTTCTTACCTTGTGCACAGGTTTTCTAAATCTAGAGTTGTATGAATTTTTAAAACTCCTGCAAGTAGTGTGTGACATTCTTGGAATAACAGAAAAAACAGCAGAGATTTCCCAGCACTTTTGTGGATGCTTTTAAGGACGTGGCTTTACAGAAAATTGCTGTAAGCCTACGATACTCCATCTCAATTAACAAAGTAAACTCTAGAGGAAAGGGGAATTATGATGATGACTGGAAAAGGCTGTGAAATGGAGACCCCATTAGCACACACTGTGCCTTTTGTGGTAACAACTCCTTTTGCTTTTTGCTGTTTCTCCTGCCATCGCACTTAGAACTGCATCACTGCACCTTGAAACATTCTGGTTTCTCTGTGCTCTTTGCTTTTGCCTAATATTAAAGTTTAGATCAAGTTTGCTTCGGATGACCTTGTAATTTAGTGAGACAAATGACTTGGGAATGCTTCATCTACTAATGAAATGCTGAAAAGGCATTAAATACTGCATTAAATACTTATTTCAACTTTTTTACAGCTGATTTTTTTTTGTTTGAAAGGTATTTACGCAGCCATTAATGTGGACATTTTATAAACAAGAGAAGACTAATTCAATCCTTTTTAGAATGTTAAAATCAGTTCTTTTAAACGCTTTTCCCACTGCTTTGTTTTTTGTTTAAAAGGGGATCAGAACATGGAGTCTGCTTCTGGACTTTGAGATGCATTGAGTAAAAACATTTCTCCAGCAAACCCAGTTATTTAAATCATTATTTAAAAACACTGCGTAATTTGCACATACAGCCAATTGATGAAGTTTTAGTGTTTGTCTTTGCTATTTTTCCTCTTTTCCTGTTACGTTTTTTTCCCCTTGTGCATTTGACCTCACAGTAATTTAAAACAAAAACAGTGCAAGCTACTTAAACCTTTAAGTTCTAGAGCGGTAAAAATAATAAGTTGCATAAATACTGTGATTTTTAGAATACAATTAGCACTAATGACCTCCATCCTTCGTACAGAAGGAAAGGAAGTGCAAAGCTTGGCGCAGCGTTTTCTCAGTAAAATGACCACTTTACATAAGGAAAAAGCAAGAAGCAAGTGATGCAGCCTTACCTGGTCCAGGAGACGGCAGCATAATAATAATTATAATAATAAAAAAGATGATTTTGGGGCTCACTGTCCTTCAGCAGGGCTGGCGGTGCCGTTAACCATTAACGGAGCGCTCCATCCCGCAGTGCTGTCCGGGAACGCTGCTGCCTTCCCGGCACAAGAGCCGGAACCGGGCTGGGAATGTTATCCGGGAGCTGGGAATGTTATCCAGGAGCTGGGAATATTGCACAGGGCTGGGAATATTGCACAGGGCTGGGAATATCACTGAAGAGCAGGAACAGCGCTGTGTGTGTCCCCTTGTCCCACCTGAGCCCCCCGAGCTGCGGCTGCAGCACTGCGATTTGCCTCCGCCTCCTCCTCCTCTTCCTCCTCCTCCCCCTGGCCTTAACTGTTCGCCTGCCGAAACTTTCCGGTTCTGCTGAAAAGAGAATAAATCTCCTTGAAAAAGACTCTCATGAAAAGAGAAATATCTCCTGGAAGCACAGACCTCACTTGGGAGAAGCGGCTTAGCGGGAGATAGAAAGAATTAAAGTGTAAGAATTCAATGTGAGTGCCTCTTATAAATGTAACAGCCTGTGCAAAACGGAGATAAAGCCCTGAGATAAGAAAAAAAGGGGTTTGAATGGAACTGCTGGCCCTTCTGCAGAACAGCGTCTGGCCCTGGTGGGTGAGGAGATAAGGAGGAGGTTTAGGTGTGACTGCAGTGTCTGAACGCTTCTGTCAGCACAGGAGCAGCCCTGCTGGGCCAGGAAAATGAAAAGAGCTGATACAAAAAGCTAGATAAGCAAACAAACAAGGGCAGACCCCGAATTGTAAAACCGCAACTCGAAATGCACCAGGAGTTGGTAACCCTGTGTGTTCTCTGGGGCAGAAAGGTTTGCTGTGCAATGCTCTGCTGTGGAGCAGATTCCTTCGAACCTTCCCACACACACTGTTTGCTGTTACAGCCTTTTCAAAGTTCTTTAATAAGTGGAAAGTTGAGCTTAAATGTGCTGAGATTGGGAGGAAATGTCCTGAAAAAATAGCATGTTGGTCTGAAATAAACAGAAAACCTCAAAGTAAGTTAAGGCACAGCTGCAGGTATGACAGGTACAAAATTATCACTGATTTTAAGAGAAACTCTGTAAATTGAGGCTTTTTCTTGAACTGGTTTGGAAGCAAATGCTGCAGCTCCTGAGTGGAAGTTCACATTCTGTGAATGACTAGGTGGGAAATTTCCACTGCTCCAACTTGTCCTTTGCTCCCTGACCCATTGCATGTCTGGCTTAGGTGACATTTTTTAAAAAAAAAAAAACATGTTCAGCAAATCTTACACTCCTGAACTTTTAATGGCTAAACCTCTGGAAAATTCTCTCTCTTAAAACAAGTTTTAGTTAAATGTGGCAAGCAAGAATAATTTTTAATACATCAGCTTGTGTGGCTGGGAGATGAACAGTGAGATGATCAATCCTTCTCCTAAATGTCCCTGTTTGAAGAGGGACACTCAGGTTGTGGCCATCCATGTCCCATGTCCTGGTGGGAATTTTGCATTTCCTGGGAATGGTTATGTTCAGGAGAAATGCAGGAATTCACTGTTAAAATGTGGGAAAGAGCCTTTAGGTTCCTCTGAAGACACCAGGCAGTGACACTGGTGTAAATATTTAGATATGAAAACATATCTGCCTGTTTTTTATTTGTGTTACATTAAGACTGGAGTAGTCATGCACAGAACTACATTTTAGATGCTATAAAAAAATAAATGAGTCAATGTAGTTTACAGCAAGAAATAAGGTACAACTCTTGTCTTAGGCAGCTGAAACTGTAAACTCTAGAATTCAGGAAGAAGTCTTAAATTAAGAGTTCATTACTATTTTAAAAAATCTTGTATTTTATACTTTAAGAAGGATAAAAACTATGTCATTTAGGAATGTCCTCTATTCAAGGTGCTAAGAACTACAGCAGGTACCTTCATATATATTTAAAGGCCCAAGATAAACAAGGCACAGCAGAGGAGACCCTGTGATATCATAAAGGAAACATCTGCCCCAAGACCTTAATTAATTGATCTGAAGGAAAAAACATCTGAATTTGCAGAACTGAAACTTCTTTCTGCTTTTTATCTCATTAAGATGTTTGGAAGGGTATGGTCTCTGACATAATCCAATGTTGTCATGGCAAAATTATTTTTTTTTCAGGGAATGGAAAGAACACTGTCCTCATTTCCTTGTTTCTTGTAAATACTTTTCAGTTTTGAACAATTCAGCCTGTGTTTTCCAGAAGGGAACCTGAATTTGTTTGCTCTTTTAAAAATGCAACATTTAATGGAATTACGCTGCTGACAAAATGTGTTTGAAAAATGCTGTGTTGGGAAACCACCCTAGAAAAGAAATTGTGGGGCTTCTATAAAGGAATTTGTGGGGCTGCTTTAGAGCCAGGTCAGCTGCCAGCTTCTGTCACAGAATGAAGGCTGAAATTCTTGATTTTGACTTTCAATTTCTTCAATTCTTGATTTGACTTTCAATTTTGACAATCAATTTCTTGATTTTGGACGGAAATTCTTGTTTTTTTTTTTCTTCTCACTCCCAAGTGTGAGATCAGCCCAGGCTGGGATTTCTCCATGAGTAGAAATGGAGAAAAATGAGCTACTCCCCCATTTCCTGGGTGTGACTTTGGCTCTTCCTGCCTGCTGTGCCTCTCTCTAACCCTGGCTCTCCTCTCAGTCTCAGGTTCATTTTTGGAGCTGTGCTCAGCACTTGAGCAAAGTCCTGCCCATATGTCCTTTCATTTGTTTAATTCCTCCTGCAAATACAGCAGTAACCTTTCTAAACCTTCACTTAGAAAAAGAAGAGTAATGGCAGAGATAGGATTATAAATTAATCTTGAAGATTAATAGAAAGCATTTAACAAGATAACAATAAAACAAAACCCAAAACCGACCAACCAAGCAAAAAGCAAAAACCCAAAAACAAACAAACAACCCCAAAAAAACAACCAAAAAAAACCCCAAAACAAAAACAAGTAAACAAAAAAAAAGGCAAATTGAGATCTCAGACAAGAAAACATCATGGTCAATGGGCTGGTACATCAAATTATTGCAAATGTGCTCAGGAAAACATTTGTGCCTTCAACCATGAAACGTGTGGAGGTACACAGAGCACATTACAGCCATTATCCAGATTAATTTATGAAAGTAGTTGGAAACTTGGGAGTGTTTGATAAATCAGATAAGGGTATGGTCTCTGTGATACAATCCAGTGAGGCAGCAAGGCAAGGGTAATGAATTATTCTGCTTTTATGACTCCTTTTTATTCCCACAGTAAAATTAACACAAACAACCAAACAAACCCAAATAAAAAAACCCTTCATGTTTTTCTGTCTACCAGTAGAAGAGAAAAATTTGCTGTCTGTTCCACATGTGGAGGAATAACACCTTTGTTCCCATCAGTTATTATTTCTTATCTAAGGTGAAAGACAAATTCAAGAGCAGAATGGCATCCAGGTCTTTATCAGATGCATTCATAACTAAAAATCAGAGAGTACTTTTGGGTTTTAGCTGTGGGATTCAGTAAATTGAGTCCATTCTAATTAGGAATACTTTCAAGTACGTTTGTGCCAGTAAAACAAGGAAACCATGAAAAGAAAATACAAAAATAAAATATTTAGTTCAGAGTGTTGTTGAGAGGAGACAGAAAAAGAAATATCCAATTTTGTCCTTTCTTTTCTTTCATGAAGTGTGGTGTTCCCTTTCAAGAGGAAGATGTGATTGTCCTTAATGGTAATAAAGAGGATGTGGAAATTCTGAAGAAAAGGATGGAGGAAAGAAGACTTAAAAGTAAATTGGAAAAGGTGAGATTTTTATACATTATTTATTATTATTTATTATCTGATTCAATTTGTATCTTTTTATATAATTGTATTTATTACATAATTATAATTTATTATAAAATGGAAAGAATTCTTGTCTGCAATGAATCTGCTCTTAGATTTGCTGGTCTTTATAAAGATGGAGGAATTTACAAACCTTTGGTGCTGACTCAGCTCAGGGTGCTCAGACTTAGCTGGATCTCAGGAACATAAACCATAAACCATAAATCATAAATCACAAATCTGATGCTTTCAGCCTCTGAGACTTGAGATGGAGGTTTCATCCCTCGATTTTGCCATGCAAATATTTCCCTGGTTTGTTTTCAAACAAATGCTTGTTTGCTTGCTGGGGAGCATATGATTCCTCCTCCTCACAGGGCCTTTATTCATCTGTGCCAGTGCAGCGTCTTGGGCCTGGGCAATACATCAAAAGGATGCTTTTCCATAAAAATCCTGCTGCTCTGCTTCCTGTTTTTCACAGTCTCTGCATCTCATGTCTGATGACTTCTAATAAAAGTGATAATCTCATGGTGTCTGTTCAGAGGGTTTTTTCTTTTTTTTCCCTCAGTACTTGGTAGTTAAAGGTTGGGGGTAAAAAATCAATTTATAGTTTGCTGCTAGACTGTAGCAGATCTCAGCAGATGAGTGAGTGGTTGGTTGCATTGGTTTTCTTTAGAAACAGGGCCCTAAAAAACACCTGTAGCTTTGGAGCAAATAATATTGAATAATCTGGGAGGTGATGCTGCCCACAATTTCTGCCCAGCAAAGTGCCTGAGTGTGCAGGGCAGCTGTGGCTTTAGGGTGGCAGCACAGAAGGACACCGTGCCCTGCTCCTGGGGCTCTGTGTGCCCTGGGGGAGGATGCAAATGGGATTTGTTTGGTTGGTGGGGAATTACAGGATAGGATTTGCAAATCTCTCAGCCTCAGGTGGTGAGCTTGGTGCCCCAGCTGGTCCCTGCAGCTGGAATGGAACCAGCTCTGCTGTCCCTGCACTTCTGAGGCCTGGGAGCCCCGGTACCAGTGGCAGCACAATTCCCACTGTCCTGGTGCTGTTTATCCCTTCCCTTCCCTTCCCTTCCCTTCCCTTCCCTTCCCTTCCCTTCCCTTCCCTT